GTAGCCACCATCGGCCGGGAGAAAAGCATGGAATATATTCTCCCTCAGAGCCCTCAGAAAGCATAAACATGGCCAACACCTTGATTCTAGACTTCTAGCCTCCAGAAGTATTAGACAAAAAACTGTTTTTATAAGCCACCCAGCTTGTGGTACTTGGTTATGACAACTTTTGGAAACTAATGTAAGGGGTGAGAGGGAGGAGGGTGACCAGTCATTGAACCTGACCATGAACAAAGACAGCCCACAAGTGGTGCATGCGTATGCCTGGAGCCCACAGCTGCTTCTCCATGGAACAAGCACTTAGATTCAGCACAGGAAGTGGGGTACCACCACAGTGCTGTACTCCGGGGCCTTCTAAATATATAAGGAGTCTCTCCCTCCCTTCCTGTCTTCTGGAAACCTGGTCATTTCTTCTCACCTATGGTCCTGTCTCCATCAGGGTCCACTTCCTTAGCCATGGTGAGAGCCTCTGTGGTCGCAATATCCACGTTGCAGGGCACCACCACCAAGTTGATTGTTTGCTGTCTTTGGATGTACTTCTTGATGAGCGACTTGATCTGATGCAAGAGAATCACACACAGGAAGATCACACTATGGTCATCTGGGAGCATAGCTGGACATGTGTGATGGTTAAAGACCACAATTGTCCCAGAGGGTGGCCCACAGTTTTCATACCTCTGTGCTTTTGCTTGACTTATCTCCTTCCTCTGGAACTTCAGTCCCCACCTGTCCTGCTCTGGTCTCTGCTGACCTCCTATGTATCTTTCAAAGCCCATCTCTGTTATTTCTTCTTTCCTGAAGACTCTTGGATTCCTGTGGCCAGGTGTGACCTCTCCTTCCTCCCTAGATCTCCCCATGATGCTTCACAGTCTTTTGTTTCTGTGCATTTATTTATTCTAGATGTTTCACTGTACACTATTTGCCCTTTTGTGTCTGTCTGATTTCACTCAGCAGAATATTTTCAAGGTTCAGACATGTTGTAGCATACACCAGAACTCCATTAATGTTTATGACTGAATAGTATTTCATTATAGGGATATACCAGAGTCCCTGGGTGGTGCAAAGGGTTAAGCGCTGGGCTGCTACCTGAACGATTAGGGTTTGAGTCTACCCAGAGGTACCTTGGAAGAAAAGTCTTGTGATCAGCTTCCAAAACCTCAGCCATTGAAAACCCGTGGAGCACACTTCTACTCTGACACACATGGGGTCGCCATGAGTCGCAGTTGACTTGATGGTAACTGGTTTTTAAAAAATTTTTTTTAAGGATATACCATATTTTGTTCATTCATTCATCTGTTGATGGACACTGGGTCTTTTCTACTTTTTGGCTATTGTGAAGAGTGCTGCTATGAACATTGGTGTAGAAGTATCTGCTTTCAAATCTTTTGGGTATATACCAAGGAGTGGAATTGCTGGGTTGTATGGTTAATCTGTGTTTAACTTTTTGAGGAACTGCCAAACTGTTTTCCACTGCAGCTGTACCATTTTACATTCCCACCAGCAATGCACGAGGGTTCCAATTTCTCCACATCCTTGCCAACGCTTGTTTTCTTTCTTTCTTTTTTTTAAAATAATAGCCATCCTAGTGGGTATAAAATGGTATCTCACTGTGGTGTTGATTTTCATTTCCCTAATGACTAGCCGTGTTGAGCATCTTTTCATGTGCTGACTTGTGTTCTAAAACACAAGCATTGTGTTGGGAATAGACTGGAACAGGGAGCTTCAGTGAAGGGCAGGGGCAGGTAAGGCAAGTAGGAGGCCAGTACAGTCATCCAGGTAAGAGATGACAATGGCTTAGGTTGGATGCTGGTGATGGATGGAGTGAAAAGTGGGTGGAAGGGGGATGCATTTGAAAGTAGAGCTGAAAGGTTTTCAGATGGATTGGAGGTGTTGTGTGTGGGAAAGAAAGGCAGCAAGTGTGACCCGAGAAGGTTTAGCCTGGCAAACAGTGAGGCTGGAGATACCATTTTCTGAGATAGGAAGATAGTGCAAGGGCAGATGTGGGTAGAAAGATCAGGTGTTGGGTTTGGACCCATTGAGTTTACTATCCCTACGAGTCATTTAGGAGTCCCTGGGAGGTGCAAACAGTTCATGCACTTGCCTGCTGTCATGACTGAATTGTGTTCTCCCCAAAATATGTGTCAACCTGGCTAGGCTATGATTCCCAGTATTGTGTGATTGTCCACCATTTTGTCATCTGATACGATTTTCCTATGTTATAAATCCTACTTCTACGATGTTAATGAGGCAGGATTAGAGGCAGTTATGTTAATGAGGCAGGACTCAATTTACAAGATTAGGTTATGTCTTAAGCCAATCTGTTTTGAGATATGAAAGAGAGAAGCAAGCAGAGAGACAGGGGGACCTCATACCACCAAGAAACAAAAGCCAGGAGAGTAGCGTGTCTTTGGGCCCAGTGTTTCTATGTTTAGAAGCTCCTTCACCAGAGGAAGACTGATGACAAGGACCTTCCCCCAGAGCTCACAGAGAAAGAAAGCCTTCCCCTGGAGCTGGCACCTTGAATTCAGACTTGTTGCCTCCTAGACTGTGAGAGAATAAATCTCCCTTTGTTAAAGCCATTCACTTGTGGCATTTCTGTTATAGCAGCACTAGATAACCGAGACACCTACCAACTAAACGGTTGGAGGTTCGTGTCCACCCAGAGGCACCTTGGAAGAAAAGCCTGGCAATATACTTCCAAACATCAGCCACTGAAAACTCTATGGAGCACAGTGCTACTCTAACATACAAGCTGAAGTTGAGTCTATGGCACCTGGGTTTAATGGTTATTAGACATTCGAAGGTGAGGGAGGAGAGGTGAGTCCACAGCTGGAGATAGGTGTCTGGAGTTCAGGGGAAAGGTCTGAGCTGAAAATAGAGATTTGGGAGTCATTGGGGTGATATTTAAAGCTATAAGCCTGAATGAGATACTAGTGGAGACATCTCTGAGGCATTACAACATCTGGAGGTCAGGGAAGTGAGGAAGAATTGACTGAGAAGGAGTAACCAAGGGGAGAGAGGGGGGAAAGCCAGCATTAATGTCCCTGGAAGCCAGCGAAGATGTTTCTCAAGGAGGGAGTGATATACTGCATTTGGACATTGGCACACGGGGTGGGTGAACACATGCATGTGCGTGTTACTGGGAAAGTGGAAGGTGAGATAAAAGAGAAATGCAGACTTTGATAGGGAGAAGCTGTATCCAAAAAGAAGAGGGGGAAAGGGAAAGGGACCATTGTAGTCGTTGGGGAGGGAGTCTATGGTGACAGAGAGACCTCTCAGACCATAAGATCTGCAAGCATCTCAAAGAATTAGGGAGAAAGCATTTTCTTTTATAGAGGCTGAGAGCAAACAGGGAAGGAAAAACCCCAGGTGTGGGGAAGTGGGATGGATAGGCGACGTCATCGGATAGGAAATCAGAATGCTTTACACTGAGGTCAGCCTCTTCTCTACAAGGGGACCTTAGGGAGAGGGAATGTGATGGCTCAGGCTGAAGGTGGGCCAAGGCTTAGGGACTTGGGGGAAGGAGAGAAGCTTAACCAAAGTCTGGTGAACAAGCATTTGGTCCTGATTGATCAGTGGGACAAGCAGTTCAGTTACTCATTTGTGAGGCCAGGAATGGGAATTGGAGCATCTCTGTGTGGCCCGGTCACAGGTACACCAGGGGGCATCCCTGAGTCTCATCTAACTCATATATATGGGAAGGGTGGTTCTTTGCAGTAAGCTGTTTTCCTGAACACAAAGTGTAGGGGGACTTCTTTAACCATTGCTGTTTTCCAATATCACAGGTTTCAGGTAAAATTCAACATTAAAAGGAGGAACACCATGAAGCAGTGAGAACAGAAAGTCACTAAACAGGAACAGTCTGGCAGAGAGCAGGGCAGCCTCCCTCCCTCTTTATGGGCATTGGTCTGTGTTCACATGGAGACGAAAGGCACATTCCCAGGATGGGGTTTGGTTCCAGGAAGATGGGGCACGTGTACCATCAATCCAACTCGGGCAGGGAGCTGGCAGGACTCCAGAAAGATGCACAAGGTAAGGACGCTTTGCCTCTTTGATTGAGAATTCCCGAAACAGGTTGGGATTCATGGGCAAGGCAAAGGGTGAAAGTTCTAGGAAACTGCCAGAAGTCACATGGAGATAAGACGACAGAGCAAAGAACAGATCCAACAATTGGGGGATTTCCCACAGCAACTTCCTTGTGCCTAGAGACATGGTCTGGAGCTTCTCAGCCAGGTTTGGAGTGGGGCAGGGCAGTGGAGGTGTTAGGGAACTGAAGGGTGCTGGATGCCCGCAGCTGAAGAAGAATGGGGTCCAGGACAGAGGAGAGGAGCCTCAGAAGGAGGGTGGGGAAGGGATGGAGAGAGACAGAGGTATTTGGAATGGCTTTCCAGGGCTAGTCTTAACTCTGATTCCCCTTTCTCTTTAACTTTCTTATCCCTGCACCTTCTCTCTACTCCCCAGCCTCTTGCAGCCACAAACAATGGTGTTTTCCCCTTTTCCCTATCAAGTCCTATCTATACTTACCCTCCTCAGCAGTTTGCTCTAGGAAACATACTTTATTTTCCCCTCTTGAAAGCAACCCTTAAGTTGGGGAGGGTCATATAGGAAGAGGAGCATATAATTTGGTCAAAAGCAGGACAGTAAAAAAATAAAATAAATAAAAGCTGATCAAGAAAAATCAGTTAGTTAAGAAGACTATTTGTTCAAAAATGAATAAACCCTTTGCTGGGGAGTCAATTCTGATTCATAGCAACCCTGTAGGACAGAGTAGAACTACCCCATAGGGTTTCCAAGGCTGTAATCTTTACGGAAGCAGACTGCCACATCTTTTCCCATGCAGTGGCTGGTGGGTTCGAACTGTTGACCTTTTGGTTAGCAGCTGAGTGCTTAACCACTGTGTCACCAGGGCTCCTTCAGAAATGAATAGTTGCCAAAACCACCAGTTGCCTTTGAGTCAACTCAGACTCATGGCCACCCCATGGCTGCTGGTCCCATCAGGTCCACTTCACTTGCTTACATGACCTATAAGCCCAAGTCAGAATCTGAATATGAGGCCCCTGCCCTGAGCAGTCCTGACCTAGACCCCCCTCCATTCATTTGGAGGAAAGACCTGGGGAGGTGCCCACAAGTCCTTGGGGCTGCAGGCGGAGTCCTCCAAAGTCCCCCTAACTTCAGCTTGGCCTGTTCCCAAGTTCCAGAAAGGCTCACCTGCAGTCCGATGTCCTGGGGCTGATTTCCCAATGCCACCCTGGTGATGCCAGGAAGATCGATGAGGGTCAGGTCCGGAACCTCCGGGGAGGTGATCTCCAGATTAATGAGCTCCTGACTGATGCCCACGCCATGCCCGGCGATGGCATTCTGTGCTATGGAGGCCAACAGTGGAGAAAGCCAGAGTCCGAGTTAATGAACGTCAGAGAGGAAGTAGCTGATACTTAAGTGGTTGCTATTTTCAGGGTACATTTCGTAGAAGACTGCAGGGTCATCTTACCCAAAAAACCAAACCTGTTGCCGTCGAGTTGATTCTAACTCAGAGTGACCTGAAAGGACAGAGTAGAACTGCCCCATAGAGTCTCCAAGGAGCAGCTGGTGGACTCGAACTGCCAACTTTTTGGTTAGCAGCCTGAGCTCTTAACCACTGCACCACCAGGGCTCCAGAGACATCTTGGAGGCCTCCAAATTGTCTGTTTAATGTGTGAGTAGCCTCTACACACACTACACATACTCTCAAAAAGAATAGAAGAAAGAGGTGAAGCCAATATGGCGGACTAGTCAGACGCTTCCTGTGGTCCCTCTTACAACAAAGACCAGAAAAAAACAAGTGAATCCATTATATATGACAATCTAGGGGCCCTGAACATCAAAGACAAAGTTGAGGAATCGGACTGAGTGGCAGGGAGAGAGAGAGACCATTCAGAAGCAACAAAGAAGTGCCAGACTTGACCTGGCTGGCAACCTGCAGGCTGGACTGGTTGGCGCACATGGGCTGATGCAAGCAGTAGTGCTCAGGATACATTTTTACCACATTGGGAGAAACGGAGTGGCAGAGTCTGCACAAGCCTCCAGGGGCAGGGGGAAGTGGCGCTCGATCTGCAATCTGCGGAAGTTAAGTGTAAGCTTCTAACCTACCGTGGGATCAAAATAACCCTTCCCCTCTGAGAAGCGCCTCTCTTCCCTTACCCGCCCCCTCCCCACTCTGCTCCAGGGCTG